GCTGCTGACAGCCTACCTGTTGATTTTCTTGAGTTCTACGACAGCGTGCTTCCCAGAGTCTCCCCCAATTCACACAAAGTCTTTTCTGTATGTTACTCTGTATTTCTTGACCAGGAAAACAAAAGCCGACAGATCCGACAGTTCCACTTCCACGGCTGGCCGGAGGTGGGCATCCCCACCGATGGAAAAGGAATGATTAACATAATTGCCGCTGTGCAGAAGCAGCAACAGCAGTCTGGAAACCATCCCATCACTGTACACTGCAGGTAATCAAACAGACCACAGCAGGAGACACACACCCTGATCTGCAGGATTGGTATCTGCTGTTTCACTTATCCACTGGCTGAAAATGCTAAATGAAAAACCCCGGAAATACCTATTTATATGTATAAATATCCAGGGTGTATGTACCAGAACTGGCCATTAGGGAGAGGCAGAGATAGTGCAATGTATAATGTTCAATCTCCTGCGTTTTTCGGAATCAGACCAACTGTATACACAGTGCATTTTACCTGAGTTACTGGATCACAGCATTTGCATTTCCAGAAAAGCAAGAATTAGCAGGATTCATTATACTACAGCCACTTGACTAGCATACAGTATTTTGCATGAAGATACCACTGGTTGGTGCATATGTATTTATGAACTTTGAAAGTTTTTACTCTACCTTTCTCCTTAAAAAAGACCCAAGGCAGATTACATTATTAAAAAGACAGCATTTAAAAGCGGAAAACAATAAGTACACAAGTATTTTAAAAGAATTAAAGAAATTATTAAAAATGGTATGTAAGAGCAATACTAACAACATATTTAAAAGCAACAAGACATCATGTTTCACCCTGAAACAGAGCATAATTGTCACTGACTGATCTTGAAAGTTTAGTGCAGGAGAGAGCATGTAAACCCACAGAGCAGCTGCTGTTCTGTCCTTAGGTGGAACAATTCAGACATTTAGAAGGACTTTGTTCACCATTCCTTTCCTTTGTCTATTTTTCCCTCCCAGTGCTGGAGCAGGACGAACAGGGACCTTTTGTGCATTGGGCACTGTCCTGGAAAGGGTCAAGGCTGAAGGGATTCTGGATGTCTTTCAGACAGTGAAGAGCTTGAGGTTACAAAGGCCGCATATGGTCCAAACACTGGTAAGCCCTGACTTCTACGAGAGGAGTGGAGGAGAGTTGCATGCCACAGTACAGTATATTTCCCATCTTTAGCTGTTCCTTCCTCCTGTCATAGCTCCTAGTCTCATCTCTGCTGTCATTTCATGCCCCCTTCTTGAAACTAGGAAAGGGAAGCAGGATGGAAGGACATGGTTTTGCAGGGAATAGAGAGGTTGGTTGCATTGTAAACCAGAAACACTTCCATCGTGCAGGGCTGGGTAGTATTCATAGTGCTGCTGCATTAAAACTGTTTCAGATCAAAGAATAATGGAGTTCCAGTCAACAAGTTATACTTCTTGGGTTTTGCCCCAGGCAATACATCTTTGTTCTTTACTGTTTCTTCCCCCCAAAACGAGAGATTGCGTTCGGGCTCGCGACCGACGCAGTCAGAACTGAGCAGGTAGTCCTGCAACATGGATGGACCACGGTCGACCCCTCCAGCCTGGGTAGGAAAGGGCTGACACCACCAGGGATTGCCTTGTCCGTCGTAGGGCGGGAAGCCATACCCCCTCCCGGTTTCCATCCCTCTCTGGACTCACGAACTCCGGTCTTGTTCCACTCTTTCGGCAGTGGCAGCAAGCATCAGTGGTATAGCTGCTTCCTATACTGGGGCAGGTTTTTACACTGCACTCTGTTGTGTTTCAGGAATAACAAGTTTTTTCTGACACTAATGTGGCATTTTCTTTTCTGCCTAATCCCTAGGAACAGTATGAATTCTGCTACAAGGTGGTTCAGGAATATATTGACGCCTTTTCAGACTACGCCAACTTCAAGTAACGAAAATCACACAACAGAAGAGTTGCCTTCTTTAATACTTTGTAATATTCTGTTTGTTAATATCCCCCTACCCCCCAAAGTGTATATATCTTAACTGTTCTAGAGGGTTGGTACCATAAGATTACTATTAGCTGGAGATTTTATATGTAGCAAAAGTGTTAGAAAGAGATTGTAGGCACTTTTTTTTCCAATGTTTTATTGGAGAATTAAATAGCTTGATATTTGGATTAATACTGTCAAATCTCTCTCCTGGAGAGTTGATGTAGGCTGGTTTTGTTTTGTAAATTTTTTTTTCCTTGAGAGGGAGTAAAGCCTTTATAAAAACCAAATGAGATTCTTCATATCCGCTGTTTCTTTGAAAACAAAATAGTGGCTCTTAAATCCTATTTTTAAGAAAAGCTTCGTTTGTCAACCCCTTGAAAAGTGATTTCATATTTTCCAGTTGGTTTGTTTTTTAAAGTATATTTATCAAAGGCTTTGAATAAGAAAAGAAGAGCTGTCTATCATTCTAGTAGCCCTCTGTACAGCATGCATGCACATGCGCACACACAAACTCCAGGCACCTTGGAACCCAGTGCGACTCTAGCTGCTGTTTGGGCGGCTGACTCCTTCACGTGGAGTGCCCCAGTGTTCGGCATTTCTGGGGATGAGGAGAGCATTGAGCATTTCATCCCTTTTAGCTAAGCCACAAAAATGTTTTGATTGTTTACGGATAGCAAATGCAGGCACTGTTTGATTTCTCATTTGCTCTCACTTCTAACCAGCAACCTT